AGGGATTTCTTTATGATAGCCATTCTTTCTGGGGTGAGATGATATCTCAATGTTGTTTTAATTTGCACTTCATGGATGGCTAGTGATGTGGAGCATTTCTTTCATATATTTTTCGCTTCTTTAATTTCATCCTCTGAGAAGCATGTGTTCATCTCGGATGCCCATTTCTGAACTGGGTCTTTAAATTTGGGGACCTTAGTGTTTTTTAGTCCTTTATAAATTCTAGAGAGTGGACTTTGTCTGAGTACTTTTTGTCATGATTTTTTCCAAATTTGTGGGTTGTCTTTTCATTTTGTTGGTAATTTCTTTTGATATGCAAAAACTTCTCAATAAGAGCGTGTCCCAGTTGTTAATTCTTTCAAGTGTTTCCCGTGAGATTTGATTTTTGTTCATGAACTCTTTGCCTACCCCTATGTCTTCAAGAGTTCTTCCTACTTTCTCTTTGAGGAGATTTAGTGTTTCTGTTTTAATGTTTAGATCTTTAATCCATTTTTACTTTAGCTTAGCGCATGGTGATAGATCTGGGTCAAGTTTTGGTTTTTGGCATGTAGAGAGCCAGTTTTTCCAGCACCATTTGTTAGAGGCCATCTTTCTTCCAGTAAGTATGTTTGGCTCCTTTGTCAAAGATAAGGTGGCTGAGTGTGTTCGTAGGGGCTTTAGCATCTTGTAATCTATTCTATTGATCCTCAGGTCTATTTTGTTGCCAATACCATGCCGATTTTATCACAGTAGGACAAGGCTAAGTTTTACTTAAATTCTACTCTAAAATTTCTGTCTCCATTTCTGCAACACATTTATGAAGCTCACAGGATAAAGGTTGTACTCATCACTCAGCAATCACAAACTTTTTAGTGAAAGTGTTTCCATCCCCTACAAACATAAATAATAAGAACCAGACCTAGAAGGAGCAAGGGTAAGAGAGCGAGAGCAAGACAGCGAGAATGAGAGTGAGAGAGCGAGAGCAAGAGCAGAGGTTGAGGATTCTCCCTTAATCTATTGTTGTCCCTTAAATATTGTGCTTAAGAAAAAGCTCCTTCTTGTCTGACCCCGAAGATAGTTCTTTCCAAGAAGTCTCAAGCGCAGTCCTCTGAGACAGACTGTTAACCAGAACTTAATCAGTGACATTGCTTTTATGTATGCTCCCATGAATGGCTAAAATTCCAATGTCTGATCTGACCCAGAGATGGGATATATATCCATCATCTAAGATGATTTCTCTTTTTGGTGTTAGCAAAAGCTCATTTTCTACAAGCTCAACTTAAAGGTTTGTAGTTGTTGGATATGAGGGGAAAGCTGGGACAGTTTCTCCCTCTCTAATCTTAGCAGAAACATGCCTCCAAAGAAGGGAAAGTTGCAAAGTGACACAGAAAAGATAAAAAATGAGAAAGAAAGTCTTTTTTCATGCTCATGGTGAGTTATTAACATAACCTGCCCTGGAGTCCTCACCCTCAATCTGGAAAGACAACAGTGGGGAATCTCAAGAGCTAAGGTCACATTCTCACCAGCAGATCAGATCAGAAAGGGAACTGAGGCAGAGCACACTCAACATTCCTCTACAGCATAGAGGGACAATCAGGCCAGATTTCCCAGAGAAACCTGTTCTGAGTCTTAAGAATGGTTGTCAGCCTATTGCCTTTTTACTGGCAAATGAAAGCCCATGATTTATTAATAAACATGTATATTTTAAAAATGTAAACTAGATTTTATAAGAAAGACCCATTTTATGGCATTTTATATAAAATCATTAGGGGGTACTCTCACATTATTTTTCTCTAGTGCTGTTGTCTAACATAAGATAAAAAACCACAACAGTCAAAGAAGTCAAACAAGGAACATCAATAAATTTAACAACTAGTATGTGTGGATTCAGCATATATAAAACAAAAATACAAGATCTTTCTCACATAAGTCCAAAGTCCCACCAAAGCAATAATCTTTCCACCATCATTTTAACTAAAACAATGCATAAAAGAGACAAGGCACAAAATTTAATGCATGAACAACTGACAAAGAAGGATAACAATTTTGATCAACTAAATGAATGACAGTCTAGAATCCAGGAAACAAAAGCAAACTCTTACCTGCTTCCAATTCTCTTGGTGGGGGCTCCCAATGGTATAAGGAAAATATTATAACTCTCAACCTGCTAGATGTCTGAAATGCCAATTTGAAATCTCCAAAATCCAACAATGAATCCTAAGGAACAATGGACATTAAGAGTAGGAAATTTTACTAATGGAGAGACAGGTCATGGGACAGACAGGAGGGGAACTGAGTGGCTTGCCATGGACCCCACTTTCCAGAAGAAGTTTATAGAGAAAAATCATGAGGTCACTACAAGGTTGGACAAAGCTATGACCAACTATTAAGTTTACAAATACAGCCGCTCAGTTAATGTTGATCTAATAGAGAAGCAGATCACATAACAAGTGCACGTGGAAAAAACAAGGACTTTTTTTGAAGATATGAGTCAGGAGATCCTGGCCACCCAATCTGGGCAACTGACTGATGTCTAGCTAGATTTTACTCAACCAGGTGATACTAATTATAATATATTGCTTATCCCTTAGGGAGGCATGCGGTCCTGGTCATTCCATCTTTATCTTGAGACCTGGCCTTCAATAGACTCATCTCCAGCTACAATTGTAATGTGTTCTCATTTTATGCATTAACTCCCTTGAGGGTCTAGTCCTGTCTGACTGCCTAAAGTATTTCTATCTAACTTAGCTGTCTATAATAATATTGTGAGCCTTCAGGCCTTACAAGCTGGGGTGTTTTTTTTTTTTGTTTTGTTTTGTTTTGAGACAGAATTTCATTATATAGTCCAGGCTGGCCCTGAACTCACTTTCAAATTGAGAAGTAGCATGGATGCAGACTAAACAGCCTATCTTCTCTCTGCTCTGACCTGCACCATCTCTACCCAAGCTGGAGCTTTCATGTGTGAACTGATCCAATCCACATACCATCCCTATTCTGAGGGCCCTCAAATTTCTCTCACTAGCCAAACCTGTCCTCCCAACTCTACCTCACAGGACAAAGAACAGCATCTCAAATAGAAGTGTTCCAAAAATAGGGGCTGGAGGTATATAGGTCATGGGTATGACATCTATTAGCACTCATGAGGCCCTGGCTTCAATTCCCAGCACCAAAAACATAAATAGAAATACTATAGAGTCTGACAACTCCACATCTTTATATCAGAAAGAATTGAAAAAAGCCACCATTCTTTACACAAATTTTGAAGTTCAAGAGTGTGGATTTCACCCTAAGAATTTTATCCGATTCTTTATCACAGAATGACAATCAGACAGCAGTATGAAGAATAAACGAGGCAAAATGCTCCATACTGGAGGAAAAATAAATTTCTTTAAGAACTGTATTGCTTTTTTTGTTTTTTAAAGGGCCAATTTTAGGGGAGATGTTAAGCTTAGGTTAGTCCTTTGAAGCTTGAGAAGGCCGTGAGAAATGCACCTCCTAGCAGCAGCAAAATCAGCTGACCAGAAGTGAGCTGGTCCCAAGCCAGGGCAGAGCATGAAAAGCAGCAGCTCTCAGGAAGTGGGAAGGTTTTCACACACCACTACTCTTTTGAACCTCCTCCTTCCTCTAAACTCTCTCTCTCTTCCAATCTTTTTGGGAGGTAGTAATGGGGATTGAAACCAGGGCCTTTGCATTGAGCTACATATTCAGGCATTTTTCTGTTTTTAGAGGATAGGGTCTCCCTAATTGCCCAGGCTGGGCCTGAAATTGTGATCTTCCAGCCTCAGCCTCCCAGAATGCTGGGATCTCTTCCTAGTCTTAGGAACGAGGTGAACTTGCCGGAAAGAGGTCTGGGAGCAGCTTCCCACAGAGCTAGGCACCACCCAGCACCTAGTGTGCCCCAGGTCCTGGGGTCCTGAGGTTCTGCGAGCCACCCCGGGTACAGAAGCACCGGGAGGACCCGGCGGTGGTCGCTGATCTTTCTTGGCTTGACCAGGCCTTGAGCTAAATTCTTCACATCCAAAATCTCACTGTCCACCAATAGCCTCAAGGTGACACAGTGACATTCCCCAGACTTCCCACGTTCCCTTGGGTAACTCCAACCTTAGGCTAAGCGCCCGAGAGGCAGCGGGCCCTCGCCCCGCCAGGGGGCGGCCTTGTGCGTTTCGGCCCCGCCCCTGCCGGCTGGCGCGCGCACGTCCGGCGGCGTAGACAAAGGTGGGCGCGCGCACGTCCTCACGCACGACTCAGCGGCGGCAGCAGCGGAAGGTGTCGTGTGCGGAGGACCGGGAGCCTGACCCCAGGGCTGGTGAGTGAGAGCGGGTCGGCCCTTACGGGGGACGCGGGACGGGTAGACCGCCGCGGGGACCCTGTCTCTGTCGCCTCCCGAAGTCCCGGCCGGCGGAGCCGAGTGCCGGGCCTGCGCGCTCCCGGAGCGATGCGGCTGAGCCCCCGGTCCGGGCGGCTGAGGAGCGGCGGGGCGGTGAAGGCCGGGTCACGTGGGCGCCCGCCGAGCCCGCCCGCAAGTCTCCGCTCCCGGGAAGGTGCATCCTTCGCGCTCTCCAGAGGGACGTGTCCTTCGCGGCGGGCGTCCTTCGCCACCGAAATCTCTTGCCTTTCCGCAGGGTCCACGCCCTCCAGGCATCCTCCTCCCTTGTTTCTGGCTTATGTCTGCACTTGCTATCGTAGGAAGGGCTTCAGCTTTTGCCGTTGAGGGGTAACCTGAGTTAGTGGCCAGCTCTGTTCTGCCCTGTCCTGGGCTGTCAACTGTCAGCGCCTTGTCCTTCTGTGTTTTGGTGTTCTCAGGAGCCCAGAAGTCATGTGCAGTATTTTGTTTCTGGTTCATTCTACTTCATTTTGGCTGAACTTTGAGAACCTCCCTGCCTAATTATGTATGTTGGAGATTCTGTCTCAACAGAAGGAAAGTAGTATGAAGAGCAGTCATACTTACAGGACAAAATCCTTAGGTACTGCCTGTGGGATACTCTTTTGAAAGCGATGTATGTGTGTTTTGGCCTTGTGTTTTGGGGAATTTGAGTCAGAAGTAGAATAGTGAACCAGCATGTGACCATTGTCCAGCCCCATCAACTAGCCTGTGGTTAATCCTGCCTCATTCACCTCCCCATCCATTTCTGTTCCCAGGGAAATAATTATTCCCAGTGAGAGATTGATTGATTAATTAATTAATTGCAAGTACGGGGCTTCCCATGGAGCTACATCTCCGCTGTGTATTTTTTTTGTTTTGAGACAAGGTTTTCACTAAGTTGCCCATCTGGGTTGTAAACCTGTTATCCTCCTGCATCAGCCTCCCAGTCTTGGGATTACAGTCATTAGCCACCACTCCTGGATAAATTCTTTTATTTATTTTTTGATACAGGGGTTGAACTCAGGGCTTTCCATACCTTCAACCCTAAGGGGGAAATTATTAATTTTTAAAAGTCTTTTATTTATTTGTTTGGTACAGGGTTTTCCTACGCATCTTTGACTGGTAGTGATCCTCTTGTTTTCAGCCTCTCTCCAGTGCTGGGATTACAGGTGTGCTCCACCACACCTCATTTCTGTGGCTGGCTCAGCATGACAGGTGTTCCAGGGCAGCACAGCATGGTGGAACCGGGGATCAAACCCATGTGCTTGCACTTGCCAGACAGGTGCTTAGACCACCTAGCTATCTCCCACCCCCTAGCCCAAGACGAGATTGCACGCGTTCAGGGTGGCATGGCTGTAGAGCCCCCCAGCCTAAGAAATTCTTTTTTTTTTTTTTTTTTTACTGTGTTTGGGACAGGGTCTGTAGGGTCTCTCTACATAAATTGGACTCATAGTGATTTTCCTGTTTTCAGCATCCCAAGAGCTGGTATTATAGGCGCATGCCATGACACCCAGTCTATTCCAAGAAATTCTTTTTTTTTTTTTTTTATTTTTTTTAACATTTATTTATTGTGTGTGTGTGTGTGTGTGTGTGGCCAGCTCAGCCCACCAGGGGGCGCGGCTGGCTGGCATGTGGTGCTGGGGG